TTATCCCAGCCAAGAGGGATACAGGAGTGTAGCCAGTGCTTTTTATTACTAAAAATTTCTTTTTACCCAAACTACAGTGAATCTGCGGGCAGTGACAGCCATCCCTGCTGGTCAGTGTGATCATCTCCTAAATCATTTAATCTGCAGTGTTGTTGATATCTTTATGGAGAAAGTGTTTTGCTTTTTCCTGTGCAAACTAAAGAAACAGACACTAGAGTATTAACCTTCTGAAATGAATGCTTAAATATCACTTCAGAACATGACTCAGAAGTGCTTTAATGTGTATGTCTGCTTGAACTAACCTTTAAATCCATGCTCTTGCAGTTACCTGGCCTACAACCACCTGTCATCATAATCTGACGTGAATCTTCACGTGATGGCAGAGTCACTTCATCCACAACATGATGAAGCTGCAGATTTAAGCAGCGGAGTCACAGGTGCCAATTTCCTCTTGAAAATGGGCTGAGTTTCTGCAATGCCTGACAAAAAAAATCAGTATTCTGCAAGCAAATAATACAGAGGGTTTTTTGGCAAGTGTAGAAACAGTACAGAAAGTTTTTAACTGTATCATAAGTGCAGTAAGAGAGGCTTTGTCCAAAGCCTGATAGAGGTATCTTAACTTTGTTTTTCTGTGATTGTGTGCTTGATTACTGATAAACATCATCAGTATGAGTATGGCTTATAAATACAGCTGACTCCTAATTATCCAAACTTGTGCAGGCTGGAACATCTTAGATAATTGGAGTACTTGGGAATTTGGCAGAGATATGTGCAGTGCAAGTTGGAGTTCCTGCAGCGATGTTTCTTATCTCATCAGTGCCTTGATACTGTCTGACCCATGCTCTCTTACTTGAGGTTGGAAAGGGGGAAAGCTTGATTTTTGGGACATCTGAAGTAGTTTGGTATGCAGCCATCCTGGGTCTGGGAGAGTTAATGAAATTTTGTTTCATTTTAGGCAAGAGGTTTGGTTCAAGCACAGTTTATGAGAATAGCTTCCTTCCAGATGGGATAAAAAGGCCAGGTAAGCTTTATGTTAGCCCAGGTTCTCCACTGAGCCAATGTCCTGCCAGACTGGAACAAGCTCCCAATGGTAGGTGTAGCCTACAGCCGAAACAAAATCTTTGTGGGTGAATGAGTTGCCCACTTACAAAAGGAGTTCCTAGTATATTGGTATGCAGGCTTAGCTGAATGTCTTGTAAGAGTTGTTTGACAAAGAATAAACTCGCAGGAAGACCACAAGGTTTATAGGGCAAGTCAAAACCTCTTGTTTCAGACTGTTTTGTTTCTGAATCTTTGCTGATGTTTCAGAACTGCAGAACTATAAGCTTGGGCCACATTTTCAGCAGTAATGAATTAACTTGTACTGTTCTGGCTGCTGTAAAATTACCTGTTCTGAATATTGGAAATGAAGTAAATTTTTTTGTTGTCCTGTTGAACAACTTTAATTGAGACAAATTTATGGATGGAGGACATGAAGACTTACATTGAGAGATAAGCACAGAATAGTAGAAGTGTTGCTGTAATGATACCACTGATTAAATACAGTATCAGAGTGAATACAAGAAGTGACTTCCAGAGTGTGTTGTGGTCCTGGCATCTCCATTTGCTCAAATGTAGCAGGTGTAGCCATGAGCCTTGTTTCTTCCTGCAAATACTTCCTAGGACAGGCATGCATTAGTGTTGTTGATCTCTTTGCAAATACTTATGCTTCTAGGAATTTCTACGGAGGACAAAACTGGTAGATGGAACTTGACAGCTGCAGCTGATAAAGGAAATACTGTAAGCTTTTCACTTTATAATTGCCCCAAGTATTCTGAGCATTTCTAGATAGCAGAAATGATCAGTGTGTATTGCTCTTTCTAGAAGTTGAAGTTTTGGCTCTTTTTGTTGACATATTCCTGTATATTAGGGTATTTCTACCCTAATGGGCAACTTTTTCCTGTAAGAATCACTTCAACTTTTTCTTCCACAGGTGTGTCACTCTGATTTGTCTGATGGGAAGCCAAAGAAATTGCAGTGTTCCTTTAAGAATGCTTTTTCTGTTTCCTGTGATCCGAATCTCTTGGGTTTGTTAAGGCCACCCCGTAAAATGGAGTCTTGCCAACATTGTGGTCTCTTTGGTAAGTGCCTGTTCTCTTGCAGCGTGTGACATGTATTTCTCACTGAAACTAGATCAGCATTGCTCAGAAGTGTCTTGAAATGGATATATATTTTTAACTCTCAGATGCAAGTATAGGCTATTGAGAACATGGTTGGAGTTACAGAACTGATAAGCACAAGAGAGCATCTCCTGATGATAAGTGGTGGGGTTTTTGCCTTCTTAAATGTAGGAGGAATTTGGAACATCTAGTCAATAATGTCTAGTAGCTGTATGTGAATACAAATACCTATTTGTATGTGCTTAGAGCTGCAGTGGAGCTCTCTGGTAAAGCAGTTACTAAGCTACAGACTCCATGTATTATTTAATAACAGTTGTTGTCTCTTAGATATATATATATATATATGTGTGTGTGTTTCTCTCAGACTTTTGTCTCCTTCCTTTAGGAGCCCTCAGATGTTCACAATGTGTGCAAGCATACTACTGCTCTGCAGATTGTCAGAAAAAAGATTGGCCGAGACACAGAGTTGTTTGTCGTCCTGTTAATCAGAGGTAAGTTTGTTAGAAATTCTGCCAAATAGTCTTTACAGAAAGACAGACAATATCCCTCCCAGTACGGCACAAATGACCACGTGAAGGCACTGTTGTAGTGAAATACATTGTTTATTCTTAGGCTACTACTGCATTCCCTGACACCTGTTGGAAATCTCTGCTCTGCTGCTTTAACAGGGTTAACTGGAAGATATTGTTGGTGTTCTTAAGGTGTTATGTAGTGTGACTTAAAGCTAAGGCATTAATTTTACTTGTGTCAGAACCAGGTGATCCTGCAGTAAGACTACCAGTTTAGCACATGGCTTTGTGATTGCTGCTGTTGACATGGGGAAAGGAGGAGAAATGTGACTGTTTTTCAGCCCTGGCATGGTTAATGGATTCCATCTCACAGGCACCCTTTGAGTCTAGCTGTAGCATCAGCTATGTTCGTGGATATTTTATCTTTGATGAGCACACCTTCTATTAGAAGTTGTGTCAGCCAGGCCATTCTCTGCTGCTCATTTCTGCTTTTTGACGTGCCAGTTTGGATGCTCAAGGGATCACTCTCTAATCTCTTTCAATTAAAGTAAGCAAATTGGCTGGCTTTGGAATAGTTCAGGGGAGTGACCTTGAGCATTCAAGCTGATAGTCTCTAGCAAGGAGTGATGATGACAGCTCAGTAGACCTGCAGCCAGGTGTACGCAACAGAAATTACATGAGGTTTGTTTGGTTTTGGCAACTTTTGCTACAGAGCCTGAATTCGGGGGGACAAATCTGGCTTGTGTTATCTGGGTATTACTTACGTATTCTGCTGAAAAAATAATTTTTTTTTTTTTCAGTTTTGTAGTTCTCAAGGTTGGCTTGGGATTAAGGTTTTAGCAAACTCCACAACAGTGAAAGATTTCTTCTCCATTTTAGTCCAAATTTATCAGGAAAAACACACTAGATGTTACATGGCAGAACTAACATTGGTCATTCTGCATTGCCTTGGAGGAGGAATAAGAGTTAACAAAACTCATGTACTGTGGACACAGTCTTTTTGTTCTGTTTGCAAGTAGAATGTCTTACAAATGCTACTTATCTGTCTTTAGTTCTACAAAAGTAACTCTTTTTCTTTGATTACAGTACAAGTAAAAGCAAGCGAGGCAGATTACCTGCTAAAACCAAGGATGGCATTTATTTTCAGGTATAGAATTTTGACTATATGTTGAGTGGCTCTGCTGTGAGCTAGTGGCAATATCCTTAATTTAACCTGTACAGGAAAGGGGCAAGTTTGAAAAATTATAATTACTCTTTTCTGAAATAACAGGGCTTCAAATGAAAAATTGCTGGGAGAAGCATTCAGAAATGTGTTACTTCTAGAGCCCTTAGAAGCACTGTCAGAGTACTCTATTTTTGTTGGGAAAAAAACCCCAAAAAAACATTTGTGAAGAAGTTTAAAAATCAACAAGTGTATGATGTTCCTAGACAAATATTCTAGGAAGGAAACAGATGTAGCATGTCCAGTTCAGAAAAATTCTGGTGTCATCTTTTCTGTGTAGATCATGAGCTAATGGTTGGAACCTTGTAAATTTTTAGAGAAATACATTTAATGTGCTATGGTACAGGAACAAATGCAGATAAGCTTTGGTTTCTTTGCTGTAACAGGAATTAAAGATGACACAGTTCTCCTTTGTAATGTTTTGAAGCCTCTCTTGATCTTACTTTCAGCCAAACATTTCCTGCAGTCTTCCTAGGCACTCTTCTGCAGGGGGTGATTTTTCTGTCTTTGTGGTTTCTTGGGATGATATTTATGGAGGTGAGTAAATGTGCATACCTCCAAGTAACCTCCTGTTTGCACTGCCCCAGAGAATTCCTTTGTCAGTCACCTGTTTATCTTTTATAAGGGATTTTAAAGGGAGGCTTTTTGTTCCATGAGGGTTGTGTTAGTTCATCCTTGTTAGTTTGTGCTCCATGTGTACTTGTAGTAAAACTGGTCAGCTGATGGTGAGGCCCTTTACACCAAATGGTTGTTTAATATGAATTAAAAATTTGCAGCCAATCTACTTGGAAAGAACAGGTGGTTTTGTTTTTTTAGATTTGTTCATCCTCTGAAGCTCTACTAAGTTCTGTAGAAGCAAGAGACTTTATATTGCATGTTGAGCAATATTTAGTGTACTTTGCTAGGGTAACATGAGATTTGCTTTCAGGGAAAATCTAGAAGGATCTTTGTTGCAAGCAAAACATTCATTTGGTAGTTGCAGCAGTAATGCCAATCATTGTGCGTTGTCTGCAGTATATTGGTTGATGTGTAAAAGAGGTTTTTCCTACAGGTGTGTATGAGGTTATTCTTGTAGGGCTTTTAGGCTGCCACAGATGCAGATGGTATGTGTTAGGTGGGTTACATGTAATGTTTTGACCTTGTAAACATGGATGGCAGCAGTTAAAGCAGTAGCTACATCTGCTCTGGGGTGATAAGTCTACAAAGAAGCAGGTGGAATTCAATTCCTCTTATTTATGAGAGCATCCTAAGTAGGAAGTAGCTGAGTTGTCCTGTAAAACAGGTATGAAAAGAAGAGGTGACTATGCAAAGTTCAGTATATCTTTGTGATCATTTTGTAAGTTATTTTCAGAGGTAATACAAAGTCTGTAAAACTTCTTACTGAAAGTCAACAGAAATACTTTTTTACATATTTCTTGAAGTGATAAAAAATTCTTCTGTCTATTAGTACAAGGAGCCACAGCAGAACAAGTCCTGTTTAAACATACCCTCTTTAAAACAGGTGCAAGCTAATTCAACTTCTGTGGATTCTCTCAAGACAAAAGAGCACAACAAGAAAATAATGCTTTCAGATCTCCAGACTCTAGGGATCAAAAAAGCTATGGAAGTACAGGTACTTTTATTTTGGAAGAATCCTACAATGCACTGTTAGGTTGGATTTAAAGCTTTGTTAAGCATGTATAGCTGTGTGTCACCTCAGCATTTTGTCTTATTTTGCTCACATGTAAAATTCCTTTATTTTTATAAAGATGAGGAATTCAAGCAGGGCTGGGGGGAGTAAGTGAGGAATATTATTTCTGTGAAGGTGAACATCGTTGTTTTTGTTCCCTGCAGTTATTACCGCTAGATTCAAACGAAAAGACCAAAACCAGGTGTTGGGTGAAATGCATTTATTGAAATGAGCACTGGTCCTGAATAACATAATGCAGGTTGTTCTTACATAATTATCATCTAATATGGCTGTTCTCTTTAGGGTACAGTAACAGAGTTCAAGAGTCCAGGGGAATTTTATATCCAGATGAGATCTCCACAAGTTCTTGACCAGATGAGTAAACTTTCTCTGAAACTGCAAAAGTGTAACACCACTACAGTTATTCAAGAGCAATATATTGCTGTGAAAGGAGAAGTCTGCATTGCGAAGTGTTCTTTGGATCAGGTAACATCTGATTGTCCAGAAAATAACCATTCCATGTTGACCTCATGTTTGGCTTTGGTCTCTTCCAGTGAAGGCTGCTAATTGGAGATAAGTTTATTGGGGCAGAATTGTGGTTGTGTAACTAGCTTTTGTAGCATCTCAAACTCAAATTTAAGGTACTGATTTCCGCACCCTCCCCAAAGAAAAAGTTTGTGTGTTTATGTACTTGATCCCTGTAGCACTATTTGTCCTACTGTTGCTTGAAGGCTGTATCTATTCTTAGCAAATTGAAACTACTGTAGTTGGAACAGTTTGGACTATGACTCTGCTTAATTATTGAAGTTAATTTTACTTAATTCCTTAGCTGTCCTTTCTGAGGGTTGCATTTCTGTAGCCACATCTAGATCCTGTTTCCTGTCCCATTCCTTTCTTCCAGTTCTTTCGTTTCCGTGGTTAGCAGGTTCTTGATTTACTGTATGGTATCCAATATCCATAGGAGTAGAATTTATCCTTGCAGCTGTCAACAGTACAGTGAGTTGTGGTCATGTGAGTCACTTCAGGATTGGTCAGTGCCTTTGTTGAAGAACAAACCTGATGAAGTAAATCAAAATACATTGTGTTCTTACAAAGATTATTTTTTATTCCTACACAGACCTGGAATAGAGTACTGATAAAAGATATGGATATCTTGGAAAAGAAAGCACAAGTATTCTATATAGATTACGGAAATGAAGAAAATATTCCACTCTCCTGTATTAGAGCTCTGCACAAAGACACTGAGCTGCTGTTTCCTCCATGTGTGAGTTTGATTTTCCTAACAGTAGCTGAGGTATTTTAAAGGAGTAGCTCTGAAATGAGTGTAACTCATGTCTGTGTGACTGTCATCATCATCACAGTATTTTTGTGTTCAGTGAAAGGGATGCATGAAAACTGCTATATGACAGTTCACTTCCTGAAATAGTTCCTGCTTATTCCACAGGAGTGAGTAAAGCCATATAGGGTTTTTTTTCCTAGTCCCAGAGTTTTTGGGTTCTGAGTTGGTAAGAAACCCCTGCAGGGTGGATGGGTCTGTGTGTCCCTTACATGCTAGAGGACAGCAGGGGGTACATTTTGCCTGTGTATTCTAATCTGGCTTCATGCTTTTGTGAAAAATGGCTTTTAATCTGAGGAAACTTTGAGACTAAAGACAGCTGTTGGTCTGAGTTCTTTGCCACACTCTGAATGCCTTCCATTACAAAACAGATGGTTTAGCTTTAATCTGAGTTTAAACTACTACGTTTTACTAAGCTGAAAGAAGAGTAGAGAAGCAGTAAAAACTATGAGTAGCTGCTATAGGAGTAGTCTTTCATAGTTCTTTCACATGACTTCCTGCTAGGTCAGTAAAAGACTCTGATTGCTGTTTGAGTGTTGGCTTAAAGACCTCAGTGTCTGCCAGGGGAAGTTTGTCCTTTGAAGGAAAACTTGGCACTTGTGGTCAAACGTGATGTGAGATACAACCGCGTCTCACATCAGACAGCATAAGTAGTGGGAGAATCAGAGGAAATGCAGTTTACAGTTTGAACTTAATTTCCTAATTCTTTAGGAGAGAGTTAAGAAGTTAGCTGAATTGACAGCATGTTGAATTACACCATCAGCTGTAACTTTTATATGCAAGATGATATTTCTGAAGGTCTTATATATTCAGTCCCTTAGATAGAGAACAAACAACCCCCTATCCCTTCTGGTTCTAATTGTATTTCTTTCCAGGCCATTAAGTGTTCCTTTGCTAATTATGATCCAAAAGGAAAAGGATGGAATGAAGACATTGCCAGCTTTTCTTCTCAGCTTGTGGGAAGACACTGTTCAGTGACCGTTGTTGATGTATTACAGGAGGAAATGATGTTGAGTTTTGCTGTGGATGTTGTTCTTGCACATTCTGGTAAGTACTTGGTTGTGTGTGTGGGGGAAAAAAAAAACCAACACAGTTGATGAGGCTTTTCATGTTCACTCCCCTCCAATGCCTTTAGAAGAAGAGAGTTTTTTCTTTTGCTCTCCCAACCTTCCCCCTTCACTTCTATTTCATCTTTCCATATAGGGCTTTTGAAAATGTCAGTGTCTGAAATATCTTGTTAAGCTTAATACCCTTAAATTTTAGGCTACTTGTCTGGTAGAATTGTAATTAATTCAGTGTTTTCTGGATTATCTTGTTTATTTTATGCTTTACAAGATGCATGAATATTTGGTACCACTTTGTTTCTTTATCTCATGCATTTTTAACTCCTAAAACTACAGTAACGATTTCTAATTCCACTTAGGATTTTACCAGGTCTTGTTACATTTCATACATGCTCACCAAAGGATCTCAGATAAGGTGCAGTCACTGGATATTGCTGTATCTGGTTGGAGAACTCTAACCGTGTTTATATATCTAACTTAGCAAGCCTCAGTGGATAGAGACAAACCAAACACTGGACCTCTGAGGAGTCAGAATTCAGATTTTCGGTTGAGCTTGGTGGGCTTTGGTTGTTGAACCAGATCAGTACACACAAGGTGTACCTGTTGTCATCATATGTGTATTGTTTAGGTTTACTCCTGGCTGCAGAGCAAGAACAATATAGTGCTAAGAGCGTATTTACTTCACTGATCTGCAGCCCACAGAAACTTTGAAGGAAGTGGTGGTTGATCCTCTTAGCTTGTTAAAATTCTTCATGTGCAGGAAGCTCATCTCCATGTCATAGTCCCTGCAGTCTATAAAAAGATGGTTCACCTTAGTCCCATGTAAATTTCACTGAATTAGGGTTCTGCTGGGCATATTTCACATTTGGTTGCTTTACAGCACATTAATGGCAAGGCAATATCTGACTTGTCATCCTTTTGGAGAGAAGATCCCATAAATATCACTGCATTCTTGAAATGTTCCATACATTTATTCCTTGACACTACAAGCAACTTCCACACCTGTATTCAGGTTTTCAGTTGAAAATAATAGTATTGTCAGCTTGGAATATTATTTCATGCATCAGAAATGGAATATGTAATAGCTAAGGAACTCAAGATGTCTTTGTAAATCTTGCTAACTCATTGCACACTCAGTGTGGTAAGTATTGAGGAAAGTTAGGAATCCTCATGTCTGAAAAGGTGTAATCAGTTTTTTAGCTAACAGTCTTTAGTGACTGAGTAAATGTTGACCATTACTGCTTTACTAATTTTGTCAGTCTTTGGAGCTGTGAATGTGTTCAGAAAACTCAAGTAGTTGAGCTACTCTGAAACTGCTTTTATTTTGCATTCTAAGCATATTAAGTGCTGAACAACTAAGTAGAACATGCTCACCCTGTAGTAGGGATACAGGTCAGGCTTAGAGGATGATTCTGAAGTAAAGATAAGCAATGACTATCTTGTATGGTAAATCACTTTTTCTTACATTTTTGTTTTAGGAGAATGCCTAAATAAGGTACCTTCAGAAGTGAGGTCTCATGTAATTCCAGGATATGTTGCCAAAGGTGGAGACTCTCCGAGAGGTGAGCAAGAAAATCAAACTAAGCTTGGGGAATTTTAAGTCCTCCCATGTTGTATGATATTCTAGCTGCTCACTAGCATCACCTCATACTTAAAAATACTGTCTAGTGGAGCTTCCTTCAGCTCACTAGTGGTAGTAGCACATATGCTTTTTAATAGTATAAAATATTTGTTTACTGATTATGTGAGCATTAATCTTGTGGATAATATGACAGGAGCCTTCAAAGTCCAAAGAGTCAACAAAAAGAGTAGACTGCTTCAATATGTTTGTATTTTCAAAGTCATCTAGGTTTTGTTCAACAGCCTTTTTCTCTTCTTCATGTACAGTGTCCGAAAACCATTCAAAGCAAAGTGGAAGGATAATACCTGAAGATGAAGACTCTCTTTACTATACTAATTTGTTTACAAAGTTTGTCTCCTTAAGTATTGGAGATGAATTTTCTGGTGTAGTTTGCCATGTTGAAAATCCAGGAACCTTCTTCTGTCAGCAGATGTGCAGTGCCCGTAAGTGCAGTGTTGGAAACAGAATGGGAATGCCTAGTCTGGCATTTTTCTCCTCAGTAGAGTGGCTGGAGGGAAGTGTTGCTGGTCTGGTAGTTTGACTTGAAAGGGTGATTCCCTGTAACCTTAGGCCATGCCTCAGTCAGTTCAGAGCCATGGTGATGTAGAGCATAGTTTTTGGCAATGTTAGCTGTTAGTATCACTTATGAACCTGAAAGGTGTTTATTTGTGGCAGTCTGAGTAGTGTACAGTAGAAAGATGGTATGACTTGGATTGTAGCAACCTGAAGTCAATTTATATCACAGATAATGAATGTTAAATACATTCAGGTTTTCCAGAAATGCATTTGAGTTTGTAGTTACTTTATTTATTCCTGTAATGCCTTGTTATTCACTTTACCACTGGAGGGAAGTGTTTCCTTAAAGGTTGTATGCATGAACTGAACTTTTCTTATGTAGGATGGGGAGAATATCTGAGTATGAGAAGGCCTAATAATAGTGCCCAAACCCCACTGTGGTGTTTTCTGATAGAGTAAAACCAGCAAGTAACACTGTAATGGGGCTGTGCATGAGGCTGCAGGGGCTTCAGGTACATCTTCCACACTGCCCATAAACAGATGTCTGGAGGAGGATAAGAGCAGAGTAAGCTGGTGAGATGTATCTTCCTCCTAGTGCAAACTGAGCCAGCAGGGTTTTTTTCAGCTAAAAAGGCTTTGGCAGCTGGATGTGATCTGGTGTATCTCTTAGAGTGGTTTTGTCTTTGCTGTACTTGTGCAGCCTTTTAATTCTGGGTAGTCCCATGGCATAGTGTGTCCTGCAGCAAGAAGTGACCTACCTCATCATCTGCCTGTTGTTTGAAGAGCTGTCTTCTGGGTTTCTTTCTGGCATGCCTCCAGTAGCTTGCTTTCAATTCCCACTGGCTTCAGTTTTGTTCCTGTGTTGAAAAAGTCTGTCAGCTGTTTTTCCCTGTCCTTTGCTGCTGTGATTCCTCAGACTCGCAGGAGGACTCTGATCTTCAGTCTTACTGATCGAAGAGTCCTAATCCCATCACTAGTTTGTTGTTATGTTAAACATGTGAAATAATCTCCATTAGATTACAAGATGTTTTTCCAGGCTTTAAGCTTAATATTTGTGTACTTTTGTAATAACTGTAAGACAGGCTATGTTCTAAAACCTGTGTATTTTAACATCAGGTCAACTGTCTGAGCTTGAAGTGTCTCTTAATAAGTACTGTGACAAATTTCCCAGTAGTCCATTGTTCCGTCCTGCTGCTGGAAGTGTGTGCTGTGCCCAGTTCACAGGTAAAAATGGAGTGAAAATAGTGATTTATGTCACTTTAATTTATTGCAAAAATTTTTTTTAAATTTGTTTTTAGAAGTGTTCCATGCAGAGCTTTATTTTATTTGTCTGGTTTATAGCTGTGGGTAGCACATTAAAAATGTCATCTGTAAAATACTAATTTAAAAATATACCTTCACTGAGAAAACTCTTAACACTGGATTAATTTCTATATGAAGAGTTTAAGAGACCATGAAGAAATTTGGAGGTTTTTTTTGATTTTTTTATGTTGGCAAGTACTACTTCCCCATGGCTGGAAATAAAAAATAGACTTGAAATTTTATACCCTAAAAAAGGGCCAGAAGAAATGGGATTATATGTAACAATGCTGCTCTGATAAACAACTTCTCACAATGTTACTTAGCCAAGACCTGGTAGTCCTGAATTGTATGTTCATAATTTATTTCCATCTCATGGTTATAACTGATGTCAAGTTTCTACAAGCCTCATGAAAAGATTGAGTTTTCCCTTGACATGGGTTAATATTCTACATAAAGCAGTGCTTTGTGACAGGAATTGGTGTGTCTATGTGAGAGAGATCTTTTATCTCTTAGAATCTGAAGTCCTGTTTACCTGAGTGCAGTAGGATTTTTTCCTCACACATCATTCTCCTGTTCATCCAGCTTTTAACAAGGGGGGAAAAAAACAAACCCACACATTGCTGTCATTATGCCTTTTTTTTTTTCTGGTCAGAAATGTTGCTGCTTTGACTTCTTTGTGGTTGATAAATATTCCTGATCAGTTATTTAATGCCATTTCCTGTGTTTTTGCAGCTTTGAATAACTTAGGTGTCGAGCTGAACAGATAAACTGAAATAAATGCCTTTTTTATGTTCTGAACAAGTACTGCCAAAAAGCTGTTTGGGCATTTGAATGGGCACAGCTTTCAGGTGCCTAGCTAGGGAAAGCTCAGTTCAGCATCTTGGCTGCCTTGATAAAGTTCCAGAAGCTTGTGTTTTTATTTCTCAAATGTTTTAATTGCATTAAAATACTTAGATCTGTTGCTTGGCCTTTGGGTTTGTCACTGTGGTCAGCTGAGGTACTGCCTGCTGTTCATTTAAATGTACTGAACATGAGTACTACATCCTGACGATGTAGTCGGTTCTTGGTTGCAGGATGTATGTGTGAGGGAAGGGTCTTTATGGAGAGGATGAGTTTGCAATGCTCAACTCATACGAGGGGTGATGGTGGTAGGTGTCATGTCCCTAAGGGTCCTGTGGAGGTTTATGTGAACTGTAATGCAGCTGTTTTGTGTTGAGATTGATGTTGTGTTTTTATATTGGCATGTCAAAAGAAATCCATTCTGTTCTCAGAAGTTAAAGGCAATGAACATCTGTGTCTTCCTTTCTAGAGGACAATCTTTGGTATCGTGCTGCTGTGACAGCATATGCTTCTGAGGACACTGTGTTGGTGGACTACACAGATTATGGCAATTCTGACTCTGTTCCACTGACAAGACTTCGTCCCCTGATTCCAGGCTTCATGGAGTTACCAGCTCAGGCCATAAGATGTACCTTGGCAGGTATGAAATAAGTGAGAAGGTGTTTCAAACCAGACAGAGGCAAAATAAGTAGGGTTGCATAACCATCACACCTGTGGTATCTTACACTGAAATGTGGGGAAGGATGGAGGTAACAGTAGACATTGTTTCTGGAATTCCTAGTGCTTGTAGCTTATCTGCAAAACATAACATCTTTCATGATGTGCCTCGTGACTTGCAGTTGTATGTTTGGAAAGCTGTTACATGAGCCATGACTGTTAGGTTTTGCACAAGTTTTTGTTCTAAGCAGAAGTAATTTACTGGATTGGTCGAATTCTTAAATCTGTCGTGGTTCTAATACCTCAGGGGAATGTGGATTTCATTTTGCATCTCAAAAATCAGAACTGTATTTGTTCCCCTCCCTCTTGGCAAGTGTAGCAAAAGTACTGATAGATTCCTTTCCATGGGCTTGTGGAATCTCAAATTGGAAAGGGTGTTGACAGTTTGTAGTTCACCCTTCTGTGTCCAGCCAGGATCATAGTCTGTGGTTTTGACACACTTGTTTAACTTGCCATTGGATTTGTTTATTTTCTTTGTTCCTTTGCTTTGTTGCCTTCCTGCAGAATACTCTGTGTGTGTCGTTCCTTCACAGCACTTGGTGTTTAACCTGCTTTTCAAATTTTCAGTGCAGTTCAGCACAGCATTCTGGACTCCTACTTTGAAAGAGAACATGAAGCAGTGCTTTGTATGCAAAGGTGGAACCAATGCATATGGAACATGACCTAAAGAAACCTCTTTTCTGGGGCAAATCATCATGTTTATAGCTGATAATGAGTGTTCTAACACTAAGGCCCAAAACACAACATGGACACAAAACAGTGATCAAATAAGACATTTCCTGATTAGAGTCAGGGATTCATGTGGCATAAAACACATATTTCTGGAAGGCAACTTCTTCCACTGTTACTGTAAAGTTCTGGTTATAACTTGCATTTTAGAAACACATTTACTAGCACAAAGGGGAAATGTTTAAGGAAGAAGTTGATTGACTAGTTTTATGTAATCTCTGTCAGGTTTTTATTGAATCCACGTAAGCAAAAGTTCAGAATCTAAATAACTGGATTTGGAATTTTGTTATGAGCATGAGGAGTGAGGACAAGTTATCTGGTGTATCTGCTGCTTTATCTGTTGTTTTAAACAGTGTTTTGCCTTTCCACATACCAGTGAGACTTGGACTGACCTCAGACCCTTTCCATACTATCTGACTTTTCAGGTGTAAAGCCACTGTTGGGAACCTGGACCTCTGTAGCTATTTCTTTTATGAAACAATGGGTGAAAGATAAAGTGTTCACAGTAAAAGTAGTGGATAAAGAGAGTTCTGCATCTGTGGTGGAGCTTGTAGATGCATCAGTTACTCCAGTAATCAATATATCAAGCCTTCTCATAGAGAAAGGCTGTGCAGCTGAGTCAAGGATAGCCTCACCAGCAACTGGAATGAGTGATGCTGTGCAAGCAAATGGTGAGTACAAGCACATCCTACTGAACTGGTGTTATGTAACCTTCTGCTAGAGTGGGTGCAGGGAATGGGATCTCTTAACTGGTGAGAAGCTCCCAGTCTGACTCATGAAGTCAAACTTTCACAGCTTGGAAGTTTAGCTGTGGAGACTGTGGCATGAACCCCTTGGGTGTCTGTATGTGTGTGTATATAGCAAAGTTTTAATTGCTTACTTTTGAAGTTGGTATTTACCCTGGCTAGAAGTCTTACAATTTCTAGTTGAAGCAGGATATGACTAGTTAAACTTGCTTGTTCTTATGCCCTCGTCCATTAGTGCAATAGTATTTCATCTGTTTTCATCTTCATTGTCCTATGTTTTACACGTAAACCCACATACTTGGTCATCGTGGCCCTACAGCTTCAAGGCTATGCCTAAATTGCCATTTTTGTGTTTAGTAACCAAAGCTTTGGTTTGTGAGATGTGCAAATTTTATGTTGGGTTTTTTGAAACCTTAGGAAGATTCTTAGCTTCTGTCATATGAAGTGTGTTAAGCTCCTCTTGTCAGAAATAAATTAAGAAACTGGGTTTTTTGGTTTTGTGTAGAGGGTTAGTTAGAAATCATCTCACAATCACATGAAAGAATGAGCAGTTATATTTCACAGTTGTTAAGCATCCTAAAGCTTTCTCTAAATATTGGGCCATTTGTTAACTTTTTTCTTGTTGATCTTTCTTCCTTATGGAGTGGAGAATTCAACTAGATTCTGCTTCTTTTTAACATATTTTTCAAAATATGCTGTGCTCTGGCCCTTTCAGGAGTGATCTGGCAGTCACAGTGTGAAGAACAGGCTCGTAGTCCACTGAAAATAAAGAAGATTTGAGAGCTTGTTAAGAACCTGTTTTGATTTGGTTTGGTCGTTTGGTTTGTGAGGTGTTTTTTTCCTTGCCTGTTGGCAGTATGACTTCCTAAAATGATGTACTGTCAGACATGACACTGGGCAGATGAAACAGCACCTCAGCATGGCCATGCTTGAAGCTCAAATTTTTATTGAGTTTTATTTTCATTAAAAAGAAGTAACACTCAGAACTTGAAAGGTCTAGCAGAGCTGGAGTCAAACCACTTGGACTCAAGTTTTAAAAAAGCTGACAGTATTTCTCCATGCTGCTGCCTACCACACACTGTAACAGCCTTGATGTCTGTGAAAAATATAGGAAGATTTCCTGATCTAGTTGAAGGTGTCCCTGGTCATTGCAGGGAGTTGGACTATGTGGCTGTTACAAGGTCCCTTCCAACACAAACTATTCTGTGATTCTATGATACAATAATGTGCTAACAAAGACAGTGGCTTGTCCAATGTGCTATAACTTAGTGCTCCCATGATCTGTTCTACAGCTTGTGTTAAATCATAAGCTTTTTTTCAGGCACTTGAGTAAAATACACAGTGCAAATTTCTACAACCAGGTATTCTAGTCATTCTTTTTGGTCTTTTTCCTCCTTAGATTGTTTCCAGTACACTAGGTGGTAGCTGATTCTCTCTTCTATGCTCCCTACCCTGGTTCCCAGGAAGCATAGTTCCCCAGTGTCCCTCTTGCTTAGGTTATTGCCACCTAGGCTGTACCTCTGTGTGATTATTCTTCCCTGTTCATCTGTGGCTTGTTCTTCTTGATAGTGGAGAAACACACTAAACACCTGGCATATTTCTCTTACTTGGATTTTACTCTACAAAGAGACTCTCACTGGTAATTACTCTGTTGGAGTATTTATAACAAGAAATTCAAGGACATGAATGAGCATTCAGGATGCATCATTTTTTCTCTGTAAAGATTATTTTAATTTCTTTTTATTCCTTTACTTCTCTCTTCTGTCCTCTCCAGAGGACACAACGAGAGAAAAGATGTGCAAGTGGATTAAATTAACTCCTAAACAAACAGTCAATGTCATAGTGTCTGCAGTGTACACTCCTGGGGAGTTCTACTGTCAGATTTCAGATACCCAAGGTAAGTTTATTCAGCTTTTTTCTTTCTACTAGTTTCTTTGCTCTCTGATTTGCCGTTTCTTATGGTTCTAATGCATTACTGTTTTGAGTGAGCTTGTAGCACTAATGCTTACCTCTGAGGTTTTTATCTAAGAATGCAAGTAGAGTGACGAAGAGATTGGATCATGGTATGTAGTGTCTCTGAGATTGGAATATGAAAATGTTGAAGGTAAGCAGTTTAGTAAAACTCCATCCAAGAACATAGAGAAAAGTGAAAAGAGGTACTGTAACCTATCCAAAGGATAGCTAAAAGTTTGTTTTCACTGAAAGAGTGGTTAGGCATTGGAAGAAGTCGCCCAGGAAGGTGGAGTAACTGTCCCTGGAAGTGTTCAAGAGGTGTTTGATTGTGGCAGTCACAGTGGTGCTGGGTTCCCAGTTGAACTAAATGACCATCTTCCAGCCTTGATGATTCTGTAAGCAAAAGACAGCAAATAAGAGTTCACTGCCCATACAATGTTTGCTGGAATTCTCCTTTAGTACTCTCGTCTAATTTATAAAAGCTTACAAAGAGGTAATAAGTTGAACATGAAAATGAGATGATGTGGATTTTGAGACTTGACTTTCCTTTGGGTAAACTAAAAAAATTAAATCTTGTTTGTCTATTTGCATGTACAAAGACCTTTGATATCCACTGGCTTTTTCACCTGCTACAAAAAGATTGTAACAAAATGCAGTGGCTGGAGTGGAAGCTAAAAGCATTCAAACAAAAAATATGGGGCACAACTTAAAAATTGGGGGGTTTTATTCCTTGACTTACCTAGAGGTAGTATAGACTCCTCATGGCTTACAACCTTCAAATGATGAGTGAATTTCTCCCTAAAAGTGATGTGTTAGAGCAAGTTAAGGGACTCAGTCTACAAAACAAGTGATTAAGCAGGGTGAGATCATAATGTGTCATATGCCCTGGCCAAACTAGGTAATTCCTGTGGTGTTCTCTGACTGTAAAATATATTTTAGATTTTGGAGTGAGGAGTTGGATTAGCAGGAAGAATTCTTGGTCATTTTGTTGTCACACTGAACTACTGTGTCAGTAAATACCAACTGTCTTACCTCCTCCCACGGATAAGTCTATAGTAAATTAAGTAGTTAGTTCAGTGTGAACAGTTTGGGTTGTTTTTTTAAATGGAATTCTAAAATTCCTAGAAATGTCCCATCAGATGTTTTACAAGTAGGCTATACAGTGAATAGTGCTGATAAAATTCAAATCACCTTATTTTGTTGATCTCATCTTTGGGTTTTTTTCCTTTCTAATTTTCAGAGTTACTTGCTCTGACCTCACTTAACAAATCATTGTCTGAATACTGTCAGAAAACTCCACCAGATGTTTTTGAGCCTGCGAATGGAGAACCTTGCTGTGCTTTTTTCTCTGGCAAGTAACAGCCTTAAAATATTTTTGGTTTTTGCAGAGGGGACATAAAGGGAGGGGGGGAATAAGCTGATGGTTTGCGTTGGCAGAGGACAGCAGAGAACTAGGTTTATTTGCTAAAAACATGACTTACTGAAGGTGTGAAGTAATTATTAATTTGTTTTTTTAAACTGTTTTCAAACCAGGGGATGGCACCTGGTACCGTGCTGTGGTGCGAAGTGTCACTACAAATGGGACTGTTCAAGTGAGCTTTGTGGACTATGGAAACGTTGAGGAAGTCCCACTGGATAAAATGCGGCAGATCTCGTCCTCATTCCTGAAACTTCCATTTCAGGCCATTAAATGCTGGCTCTCAGGTGTGTGCTCTTATGGATTCTGTCTCTTACAAGGACTGTTGCATTTAGAGACTTGCTGCTTTGGGGGAGGGAGGTGATGACAGGGAATACCATGCAGAACTTCGTTCTTTTGGAGTTTTGTAGGGGTTTGTTAATTGGTTGGATTCGTGGGGCTTTTTTTTTCACTTCCCTCAACTCCTACCAGTGCTGTGGAATGATCTGCATGGAGCTTTCCTATAATTTTGTTCAGCTTAATCTGTACTGCTTGCTGACCTTTGGTTGCTGCCTTGCTAAAAGTCAGTGTGCCTTTGTAGAACTTTATTTCTCAAAATCTTTGCAGGCAAAGGAGCTAATCTGTTTTAATGAAGCAAATTTGCCTTTCCGTTCTCTAAAATGAGATGTTTCATTTGATTCCTGCAGAGCTTGGCACAGTACTGCTGTTTCTCAGTCTTCTACAAATTCCTTTTCCACACCAAGTCACTCAAAATTCTTTCTAATGTAGGGTACTTGGTTTAAAAATGTGGAAACAGGAAAAAGCTCAAAACCACATTTCATCGAAGTGTCTTTTGCTATATTTTCTTCCCCCCTCTGAAAATGTTTTTTTTTTCCTGCTGCTTTGATAAAAAGGATGTAGTGACCTGATTCATCAACAGTCATAATAGTGTTCTTTGTGCTAAGGCACAGGGATTTACTTGGTAGAATATCATAAAATATAAAAAACAAACCTTGGAAGTCCTGAGGAAATGTGTTCTTTTAGAAGAAAGAAGGGGAGCAGTTAACAGGATCAAGTACAATGTGTATCCCTAAGGTAGTAAAAGCAGCCTTGATATTTTGAGTTATACTTTAAAGAAAATTTTTTTCAAAGTATTTTTTTAAAAGAAGTCACTTAATGGAGGTGTTTTAACAGTTATTTTTACCTCCTAGGTATAAAGCCTGATAAACACGAATGGACTCCAGAAGACACAAAAAGATTTCATCGGTACACTTCAGGGTTAGGGCTTCAAGCCAGAGTAATTTCCCTTTCCAAAGATGGGGCAGGTGTCGTGCTCATTGACAATTCCACAGGTTATCCAAAAGTGATCAATGAGTTATTAACTTCTGAAAATTTGGCTGTAAAGGAAGTTCTACAAGATAACCATCCAAACAAGCCTGTTGACCAAAAAGGTAATGAAAGGAATATTACCTTTAGGATTGAACAAAAATTTTCAGTATTCTAGCCTTAACCTGTCATCTTATTGTTTAACTGTAGTGAACCCCAGTGATAAACACGCAGAGTTTTGGTTGTGGTGTCAGTTTTTGCAGTTAAACACGGGCTGCCCTGCAGGTGGCATTACAGACAGAGAAGATAAAAAAACACGGCTTGTCTTCCGTGAATGCTGTTTGACTCTTGGAGAGGTAGAGAATTACAAATGTGAAACTTTTCCCGTGTTTGCTCTCCAATATCTTATTGTTTTTCTGCTGTTTTTTTTACTTTGGCTACTTTTATATGCCAGTAGTTTATGAACAGCAAATTGAGCAGCAATCGCTTTGGTTTAGGTTTGTCTTCCTTAAATGAAGACATGCAGTTGTCTCTTAAAATTCAAAAAAAGGCTTTATAAATATCAAAGAAAGTAACAGTTACTTGTAATATGTGTATGCTTGGGGGAGAGTGGTAACACTGCATTTTCTGCAATTTCTGTTAGAAACCTCATTTGGGCACTGGAAGTCAATTGAATTGGCTGTAGATGAAACCATATCTGTCCGTGTAACTGAAGTTGTAAGCCCAGACTTGTTCTATGCTGTACCAGTTAAAACTGAAGGTAAGAATAAGTGTTCAGTGTTCTTAATACCAGTAAGAAGTCACTGTTGCAAGCTAGTTAATAAAATAAATGCCTGTAGTGAACTGAACCGTGTGGAAATGTAGGTCAGACAGTGGGAAAATAGAAAAAAATGCCCGAGGTGGGAGCAGGGGAGCCTAAAACTGAAGTATGCTCTTCATTCTATCCAAATGTGGTTAGTTACTGTGTTTTTTTCCTGTAGATCAAGAGAAGCTACGCAGACAGCTGGTTAAACTAGAAAGCTATTGTAAATCTTGCCACAAACAGCCCTTCCAACCCAAAGTGGGTGAAGCCTGTTGTGCCCAATTTTCAGGTGAGACAATTGTTCGTTCTTGTGTTTCCTTGACCAGTGTAAAACACAACTTTCACTTTTGCTCAGTGAAAAGTACCAACTGGAAAGTGTTTCCAGGTGTCTTGATTCTGTTCCAAAGGATGATCTGGCTGCATCTTTCGGGCAAAGAAACTGCCTGAGAGACTGAGAGGGAAAATAAGGAATGAATGGTGCCCTGCAAAATGTATGGAGCTTTAAGAAGAAGGAAAACTTGGTTACTATTCATACTGTTTATATTATGGCAGAGCTATAGCTCACCTGCATCTGTACAGACCCACTTTGGTCTGTGGGTGCCTGGGTGGTTTTTTGATGTTGCTTTGACAACTGTGATCATTCAGCCTTGTTAGCCCAGCAAGCTGTCCAGGCTTAGGGAACACCTAGTTCAAGTCAAAAGTATTTTTAGCAGTGAGGGAATTTTATTATATTAGTCTTTCAGAAGAGGGAGGAGACACTCTCCTGGTATCTTAGCTCAGGATTTTTAAGAACATATTGTCTGTCTGTTACAGAATGTAAAAGCAGTCAAGTGCTGAAATTTAACTTGGGTGCTAGCTCATGGAAAACAAGATAGGTGATTTAAAACAATGCTAGGCAGACCACAAGGATATACCTAAGTGTTTGGCAGTTGTCTTTAAAAGTTAGAGTTGTGGAAAGGGAGTGTGTAGACATCCTTAAAACAGTATTGTAGTAAAAATCTTGCCTGTATAATTTGAGGAAAATTCTCAAAGCAACACGTACATCTTTATGAATGTAAGAATCAGAAACTATTCCCTTGGTTCATGGGCTTCTTGTCAAGTGGTATTTTATACATACCACAATATCAAAAACTTCCTGGAAAACTATTCAGGTTCTGGTTCTTGGTATGAACTGTGTTTATAAGGTGATACTTCACATGTGACTGTTCTTTTCAGGCAATGGTTCCTGGTGCAGAGCTGTTGTTCTGGAAGCTTCTCAGTCTGCAGTGAAAGTACTGTATGCAGATTATGGGAACACAGAAACTTTACCACTTTCAAGGGTGCTGCCAATCACTGATGCCGATTTAGAGCTGCCTTTTCAGACAATTACATGTTCACTTGCAGGTAAAAAAAAAAACCCAACCCAAAATAAAACAAAAAGCCCAAAACACCCTGACAAGTTTTCTTTGACATTATAAATCTCTGTCTGTTCTGGTGATTCCTTGATACTGGCAAACAACATGATCATCTGCTGAAATAGTATACTGCTTAACAGTTCCTTGATACTGGCAAACAACATGATCTCTGAAATAGTATACTGCTTAACACTGCAGAAGCTGCTTTAGAAGGCATGTTTGTAGTTCATTATTTGTAAATAAGGAAAATTCATCATGCTTTCAGACAGTGGTAGCATCACATGTAAGATCCAAATCATATCATAAGGGAATTCTTTATGTAACCAACTTGGTTATACTTTGTTTTTTGCAGGAGTAGAGAAGGCTGAGTGGTCTCCATTGGCACTTGGCAAGTTGACAGAAATATTATTGAATGAACACTTCATCATTACAGTGAAAGGGATTAATGGAAATGTGAATTTAGTAATCCTGGAGAAACACTGTGAAAATGGTGTTCTGAATGTAGCTGATCAGCTTCTAAAGGAAGGTTTGGTCAAACCCTGCAGTGATGAAAACTTGCAGAGTGAACATCAAGGTACATACATTGGCTTAATTACTTCCATTTATTTCTTCTGAAGAACTTGTAAGCACATGGGATGCCTAAGTGACTTTTCCCTTCTAAAAATCTTACAGCATTCCATATCACCCCTTAAATGAGGGAAGTATTGTGCATGTGTATTTTGCTCATTCACTTTCTTTGGTTTTTGTAGGCAGCAGAGGTGAAGGCAAATGCTGCTGCACAGAATTAAAAGTGCAGGTAAGATTCAGTCCAAGCAATGCTTTCTCTCTTTTGTTTCCAGAACTTAATAGAAATCCAATGTGGGATGCAAATAGGAGTAGGGAGTTAATAGCCAACTCAAACATGGAAGACATACACAGGCAAAGTGTATCCTGACACTTCGTCTTAGTTTGTATTATGCATGGTAATAATTAGAGTACTCTGAAGCTGAGGGAGGATAGTGTACAGATCACCCAGACTTCATTAGGCTGCACTTTCCCCACATGCAGCTCTTTATTTTTCCAGAGTGTGAAGTCTCAGGAGTGTTGGCTTTTTTTCTGTTGTCTAAAGGTAGTTGTGTTTTGCATCAACTGTGACATTTGTACAAAGGGCACCTGGATGGTTTTTTTCAGTAACATGGCTGTGTTTTGTTGTGGATACAACCTAGCAGGCAGCTGCATATGTAAGAAAATTGTTAAAATACTGATCTCTGCTACCTGAAATACATATTAACATGTGCCACAGTTTCACTTATGGAGCCAGGTTGAGAATCTGAGTGCAGTGGAACACTGGAAATTGTAACAGTGTTTGCCACTTGCAAGATGTATTTTTTTTTCCCCTCTTGGAAAAAATTGAAATATATTTTCAGATATGGCATGTTTCTGTAATTTTTGAAAGATTATTGGTTTTAAGCTTACTCATTTGTTCTTTTTACTTAGGCTGTTTATGAAAACTGTAGAACCTCAGGTGAAGTATAAAAAAGCATACCTGAAAATGGTCACTTTCTGTTTTCTCTTACCCTTCCTTACTGGTTTGGCTCAAAGTCTAATGGTGAAGAGAAGACAGAAGATTCCAATGTAACTGAAAGCATAAGGAAATAGAGACATGTGAATAACCAAATTTTAAGATCCTGATCCCAGTCCTAATTTGAGTATTTCTTCAATTAGGTTTGAGGAAGCTGCTTCAGGGCAAAAAGAAGGTGGTGGGGAGGGACGCACACATGGACAGGGGGAAGGCAGCTACAATTCTGGTGGCTTTTTCCCCCTCCAGAAGATTTTATTGCACAAAGGAATTGTTTATTTATTGAACTAATATGGGACTTACCTGAGCTCAGTGTTAGGATCTACCTAAAACCAGAACCAACAAAATTGTGTATTTCTTTCTGCTTATTCCACAGCTCAAAAAGCATGAACAGATCCTGCGCTTCCTTTTAAACCAGTATGGGAATCCAGATGGATTCACTGAAATGAACAATCTGTTGACCCACTAAGTCTCTGACATGTACCATTTCAGTTGTGTGTGTACCAAGTTGCTGCAGTTTCTTTGTGGAACTGCAAATGTATCTGGAAGCTTAAAAAATGAGGATCAGTTTGTAGAAATTCTGTTATTTAAATACCTGCATTTATCTGCTGATTGGATTGTTTGTGACATCAGTATGTAAGTTGGATTGCAAAGCTGCAAGCTACAATTTCTGTTCTGTTTTTGTTTTGTGCCAGTGTGCTGCTAAATTTTTTGCTGTTCTATTCCTGTTGAGTGCACACAAGTTTATGGAATGGCCATTGCATTGTGAGTCTACTCTGAAAAGTTTCGCTCGAAATTACTGTAGTTGTAAAGCTTAATTAACCTTGGTACTATTTACATTACTTGAACAAAACTTGATTATTCTTTCACCTTGATTTCTGAAGTTAAACTGAGCATAGTTCTTCACAAACTTGGTTTCAGTATCATTAAAGGTTGACTCTTGTCTTGAAGTGCATACAGGTAGTTCTTTCAAATCAGTAAATATGTGCACTGTTCTTTATTGACACGCTGTGTAATGTGCATCTCTGAGTATTGTTTTGAAGTGAATTGTGTTAGAGCTGGTTTGTGTGTACCTATGTCATCTACTCTATCATTTTTTCACATCATAATAAAAATTAACCTACTCTGGGACATGACAAAAAAACTGAATCAAATTATTAACACATTTTCAGTATTCCTCTGGTTGAATACCCAGTTGTTATTTCTGACTGTTCCAGGAATGTCAGATTATTGTTCGTGTTGCACAGAAGACATTGGATTATTGAACTGCAGGGTCAGTTTTGCCCACATGAAGTATGTATTTTAAGTTGGGACTTTGTGCAAATTTGACAAATCTTGGTATTAAACTTGTGAAACATTTTCAGATTTTTTGTTTTTTCTCCCTCTTGTTGCAGCATATTCTTGCAGTAACTAACAATTAGATGAATGTTTGCACATGGGTTTCTGGAGTTCCATTTGTGCCCCTGGTTCTGAACCAAAGCTGTGGCTGTATCAAGTGTCCTTTGGCTCCTTGGAACAAGTGTAACTTACCCAGGCATTTGGCCACATGAAAAGCAACTCTCTGATGCTTTAGTCCTCTCAGGCCTCTGGTTCATTTGCCCACATACTCTCTCCTAGCAACTAGTCATTGCATTTCCTGAGATGAGTTTGAGTAGTCATAAGCAGTCACACTTTGTCTGCACTTTGTAAGCAGGAGAAAGGAAAAGTGAATCTTTGCATGTTCTACTCAGTGAAAACAAAAAAACTGGAAGGCAGTGGTTGGTGTTTGACGTGGAGATGTCTGTATGGTGCAGCCCAAAGGCACCTGGCAGTAATCCTAGACATGGAAAGAAAGGAGGAGTAAGAGACTTCATGTGGTTCAGAGGCTTAGTTCATTCCTTCATTCAGATGAACTCCCTGGGAACATTGATGTGGGAGCAAATCAAACAAGAAATGTGGAAACCCAATGGACCTCCTGATGTAGCCTTGGGTTCCTCTTGCATTGCTTTTCTCAGCTACTTCTAATCTGTAATTGAAATCTGTTCTTGAAGTGATAAACTATCACCTATGGATTATACTTAGCTAAACACTAATATAGGATATAATTTTGAAGTACATTCTCATGTCTGGTTATGTCTGAACAAAAGATACTGTATGAAAAACTTGGTATAGAATATCCATGGTCTTGGAAATAAAATTTCTTGGTACCTCTCTGGACAAGAAAAAATGTACTGGAAGTTGAGAATAATGTAGCACTTTTGAAAGGGAAGTAGTTTGAAATTAATAAAAATATACAGCACTGAAAAACAGGGGTTTTACCCTTGAAAAATAATTTTTAGTTATGAATCACTGTTGGAGGAACTAGTGGTTCCTTTGTTAAGTGAGTTCAAATCAAATTGTTGATATATTTGGCACTTGGTGGTGCGTTCCTAACTCTACATACCGTGAGGTAGACACAAGGGAGTGTTTGTCTCTACAATTAGAAAATTATTGATCTATATTTAGTTTTCTGTAGCAAGCGATGTGGAAATTCTTCTTTGACTAAGAGTGCTCAGTCTTGTGCCATTACCAGTGCTGGCACATGTTGCGTTCTGCTTAGGGCAGTGCAGAACTTCTGAAAGTCCCTGTGGGCTGGAAGCTTGGGCTCTGGAGGACTTGCTGTCTACTTTCAAACTCTTACTACAAGTGACACCTTGTCCCTTCCTGAAGCTGTCTTCACTTTTTCTGAAGGTATGTTTTTATTTCACAGAGCCTTGCTCAGACAGTGTGTGTGCCTCAGAGTGCTCAGCTGCTCCTTCTGCCTGCAGCATAGCCAACCCTTGGGATGGGTCAGGGACAACTGGGTGGGATTTAGCATCCACCAGGCTGTGCCAGACCTGGTCTGTTATCTCCAGCCAAGTTACTGTAACCTCCTGAGAAGTGCATTACCCTCTAAAAACAAATTCAAGGTAACTGCTAGGGATTGATTTAGATCAGTTAATCTCTTAAACTGACCTGGTAAGTAAGGGCCTAAAGTACAGGGACAGTGATCCTCTTAAAACCTGTAATTTTAAAGCATTATCAGCTGTGTTGTGGTAACCCTATCATGTAAGGCACAAATGTTTTGTCCAAAGCTGGACCATCCTGTAGTGCTGCTGTATTTAAAATTAATGGCTTTGGTGCTGCTTTCTTCCTGGGCCTTTATTGTGGGAGCTGCTTTTTGGGGGTAGGTGTGTGGTGGGGAGGGCTCCAGCCTGATTACATGTCCTTGTAGCCTGAGTTAGACCTCTGCAGGACAGGGAACAGCTGGGCAGGGTGTGGGTGCTGCAGGCTCATGGCACAGCTCATCCTGTGTCCTTATTCTTGCTGTGGAGTTCTTGAATTGCTCAGCTTTTATGGGTAAGGACTGGCTATAGTGTGAGTGTGGTTGGCACTGCATGTCCTGATGGAGAAAACAAGTGAAGAACAGCGTAAGGAAAGTTGTTCTAGGAATGGGATCTGCTACTTCAGTATAGCTTCTGTTAGTGGAATAATCCTGTTACTTAAGAATAAAATAGAATTTAAAAAATGTAGCTATGTCTAACTGCAAAGTGTATGAAGTTAACACTTTTCAAAGAATATTGACTTGTTGTGTTTTCTGCTCCTGCAGTTGCACATCTTCAGTTATAAAACAAAACAAAATATAACATCTCCCCAAATAAAAAAAGGCAACAAACAAAACAAAAGCAAAACAATAACCCAAACAAAAAAATGGGAAAAAACGAAACAAAAACTCAAAAAACCCCAAACACCAAAACATCATTTGCAAAACAGGTCTCTACGTCATTCCTCGAGGTGTGACGTATGAATATTGTACATGTGCTCACAGGTAGAGAATAGTTTTCTGTGGAAAAGTGAGCATTGGGAAAAACATTCTCAAAAAGAAAATTGAATCCTGCATGAAGCTGCTTTATGTCTGTTGTGGGGCAGAGTAACCCACAGCGTGTGGCTGCTCCTGCTCTGAGCTGCTGGCTCTGCTCCAGGCGTGCTGACATTTCAGGTGTGTGAAGCCTGTTGGCTGAGCCTGTACAGCAGAGTGACTCGTGAACACAACCCAGAGCATTGGGGTGTACCTGGGGTGGTTCCCCCACTTCCCAATCACAGTTGCAGGTGGCAGGACGTGCTGGACGGGGAGGAGAGGCTGAACACAGTATAAATCTAAGCGGGGAGAAGGCTGCTCACAAACCCTGCAGGTGCACAGGGGCTATGCAGAGAAGAGGTAAAGTGCAACTTGGAGTGTCTCTCTCTCTCTCTCTCTCTCTGGCATTTCACATCCTACAGGTGATGAGCCTAAAGCAAGGCTGCTGGCAGGGAGCCAGAGTCTCTCTCTCTCTCTCCTTTTTTTTTTCCGGTCGATAGCATCTTAAGCCTCTCGCTTCGCGGTGCGGGCAGGCAGAGGCGCTGGGGTCCGTTCTCTCTCCCGGAGCAGAGGGTCCCTCCCGGCTCTGGATCTGGTGGCAGAGGTACCCCAGGGACGGGTGGTACAGCCGAGGTCCTGCCCCGGCTCGGGAGGGACCCGTGAGCTCTGTGCCCGTGCTCCAGGAGAGGGCACTGGGACCGGCTTGGCTGGAACGGGCGTGAATCTGTTCACTGTGACGAATAAACTGTGCCGTGCTGGGTTATTAAAATAACAAACCCACCAGCAGAAAAAACAGACCCAGCTCTAGTGCTTTAACTGATTTGTGTCTAGCACGTTTAGGGTGCGGCTGGGGGGGAGCCCTGCCAGGGCAGGCTGTGTGACAGGCTGTGTCTCGTGTCCTTTCTGCAGAAAGCTAAAAACCTTTCTGAAAGCTGAAAACCTTTCTGCAGAAGGCACAAAACCAACTTGATTGAGGAAGGACTGAACTACCTGGAATGGTATCTTTAATATGTCCAGACACTTGTACTTCATTAAAGAAATGAGTGTAACTTGTTTTTGAGTACACTCAACAGCAGCTTTTCCTGATGTGGTGCAATGGTTGAGGAGGACTCTGGCTGGTTCCCAGTTGTGCTACGGATTCATGCGCCTGTACTTACTTGGTTTCTGTGTGTGTTAAAGAGGGATGGAAATGCCTTCCC